CTTCTTTATATTTTGTTTGTCTGCTGTTATTGATTTATAATAGTCAAATGAACAAATAAAAGTGTGATCTGATAGTGTTGGTTATGTTTTGGCATAATCATGCTGTGATCTGAAAAATGAAACTTATTGAGATAGTTTGGTATAACTTGTTATTAACAGCTTTGTGATTCTACAGCATATGATTATCAGTATTTTCTTTTAATCCAAAATATTTAATATTCATTGTTCTGATCAATACACTTCTATATGAATTTATTTAGAAACACAGACGTCAATAATCAGCCTGTGAATCTCAAGAATGGTGACAATAATAATACATGTTGCAGTGGCTGCCACCAATCACAACTCATTAATTGCTCCCATCATGCATTGCGGTATGAATAAATTATGATCTGAATTGTCTATGTAATTTACTTTTCCTAATTGAATATTCTGCTCGTCACCGTTGTTGAGATGCATTGACTCAATCTTGATGTCTGTGTGTGCCTAATAGAAAGATTTTTTTTTTTTAAACAACTTTAAAGAAATCCTTTATATTATATTCATATATAAAATTCCGGATGTTTATGCAGAATCACAGTTATGCTGTAACCAACAGCATAAATCACAAACATAAAGATCAAATGATGATTGTCATAATATAACCAAAATCATTAGATAACTTTTTTTCTTTGTTCATCTGACAGTTATAACTCAGAAACAACAGCCAACAATATCTAAAGTTATTAATCTAAGGGTCAAGAGCCCAACTAAAGCAAACAATGATCGCCATAACGGTGGCTTACAATTTTAGATTTTCTCCTTCTTTAGATGCTCAATCATCACTCAATTAATCACTTCATTATCTCATTAACTTTCATCACTGGAGTTTTTGCTGTGTTCCTTTTAGGAAAACATTCTGGGAACCAAAATAAACTACCCGCTGAAAACATTATTAGAACTTCATGGTAATGTTCCCAGAACGTTTTTAGAACAAAACATTTCTAGCTGGGAAACCAATCAGAGCGTCATCTCACATTCCCTTTAAGAGCAGGTGCGCATGTTGCATGGCGGATTGCTATTATAACGGCGGATTTACAGGCGCGCGTCAGGAGCGGTTCACAGCCGAGGAGACCGACGTTCTTGTCAGGACCGTGAAAGACAGAGAAGTGACGTTGTATTGCGTGTTTTGCGTGCACCTGTAAACTATGGCATAAACCCTCATGCAGTAACACCCTCAGACGGCACTGTTTATTGACTGTCTGAAGTAGAATGCATGCAGAAATAACAAAAAATTCAACGTTCAAATCAGACTTATCTATCTATTTATCTCTCTATCTCTCTATCTATCTATCTATCTATCTATCTATCTATCTATCTATCTATCTATCTATCTATCTATCTATCTATCTATCTATCGTGGGTGGGTTTCTCCCATCCCCATACAAATCAGCGTCGGTTAAACAGGCGTGGGAGAAAAAAAACTAAATTTTCATGGACACCACAATGATTTCCCTCATGTGTTAATATTTTTCCTTGTTATAATGTATGATTTGCAAAAATAAAAACTGCTGCATCTGTGTTGATGAGAGAATCAAAGTGTATGCGCGTTGTGCACCCGCTACATTATGGCCAAGCATGCGCGCTTAAAATAGCATAATGAACAACGCGCAACGCGCCACTGACTTTAGACTAGTTTTTTTCTGGTCAGTGGCGCAATTGTTTTATAGAACAGCAAAATAGCATGAGGGAAAGTTTGCGCCGGAACACGCCTCCTCTTTGCGCTGAACCGCCCCGGGGAGCGCAAGTGTATTTCTTAGTTAACCGACGTGCGTCTGTGGAGGGAAAAGTCCGCTTTGCGCGGGTGCAAAATAGGAATGATACATGCGTCAGTGTACAAAGTCATTTGTACCATAGAGCTGTAAACCCATTTGATCAGTCGAACCAATGCCTGCATTTCAAATAAATAAACAAATAACACCTGTAATTATAACACAAAATTTGCAAAAAACTGTAAACTTTCTCTGAACTTTATAATAGATTAACAAATGCTGAAGAGCATCTTTAGGTAAATCCAGTGACTGACAGTCAGCATCTACTCCACAAAGTGAAGCAGATGAGGGCATGATTCCTCATTTAAACCCTGATCTAGCCGAAGTTTCTTCTTAAAATAAGGGATTGTTTTTGTCCCATCACTGTTGCATTGTGGGTTGAACTTCCACTCCATGAAGCTGCTCTGAGACGGAGTCAGTAAAAACGTAATTACGGTCTCTTTGCTGTTTAGAAGATAATCGGATTATCTGGTTTATCTGCAGTGGAGTAGATCGTTGAAACTGGTTCATCTACTGTTGAATCTGGTTTATCTGCAGTGGAGTAGATCGTTGAAACTGGTTCATCTACTGTTGAATCTGGTTTATCTGCAGTTGAGTAGATCGTTGAAACTGGTTTATCTGCAGTGGAGTAGATCGTTGAAACTGGTTAATCTACTGTTGAATCTGGTTTATCTGCACTGGAGTAGATCGTTGAAACTGGTTAATCTACTGTTTAATCTGGTTTATCTGCAGTGGAGTAGATCGTTGAAACTGGTTTATCTGCAGTGGAGTAGATCGTTGAATCTGGTTTATCTACTGTTGAATCTGGTTTATCTGCACTGGAGTAGATCGTTGAAACTGGTTCATCTACTGTTGAATCTGGTTTATCTGCACTGGAGTAGATCGTTGAAACTGGTTCATCTACTGTTGAATCTGGTTTATCTGCACTGGAGTAGATCGTTGAAACCTGGTTCATCTACTGTTGAATCTGGTTTATCTGCAGTGGAGTAGATCGTTGAAACTGGTTCATCTACTGTTGAATCTGGTTTATCTGCACTGGAGCAGATCGTTGAAACTGGTTCATCTACTGTTGAATCTGGTTTATCTGCACTGAGTAGATCGTTGAAACTGGTTTACTGTTGAATCTGGTTTATCTGCAGTGGAGTAGATCGTTGAAACTGGTTCATCTACTGTTGAATCTGGTTTATCTGCACTGAGTAGATCGTTGAAACTGGTTCATCTACTGTTGAATCTGGTTTATCTGCACTGGAGCAGATCGTTGAAACTGGTTCATCTACTGTTGAATCTGGTTTATCTGCACTGAGTAGATCGTTGAAACTGGTTTACTGTTGAATCTGGTTTATCTGCAGTGGAGTAGATTGTTGAAACTGGTTCATCTACTGTTGAATCTGGTTTATCTGCACTGGAGTAGATCGTTGAAACTGGTTCATCTACTGTTGAATCTGGTTTATCTGCAATGGAGTAGATCGTTGAAACTGGTTTATCTACTGTTGAATCTGGTTTATCTGCACTGAGTAGATCGTTGAAACTGGTTCATCTACTGTTCAATCTGGTTTATCTGCACTGGAGTAGATCGTTGAAACTGGTTCATCTACTGTTGAATCTGGTTTATCTGCACTGGAGTAGATCGTTGAAACTGGTTCATCTACTGTTGAATCTGGTTTATCTGCACTGGAGTAGATCGTTGAAACTGGTTCCTCTACTGTTGAATCTGGTTTATCTGCACTGGAGTAGATCGTTGAAACTGGTTCATCTACTGTTAAATCTGGTTTATCTGCACTGGAGTAGATCGTTGAAACTGGTTCATCTACTGTTGAATCTGGTTTATCTGCACTGAGTAGATCGTTGAAACTGGTTTACTGTTGAATCTGGTTTATCTGCAGTGGAGTAGATCGTTGAAACTGGTTCATCTACTGTTGAATCTGGTTTATCTGCACTGGAGCAGATCGTTGAAACTGGTTCATCTACTGTTGAATCTGGTTTATCTGCACTGAGTAGATCGTTGAAACTGGTTTACTGTTGAATCTGGTTTATCTGCAGTGGAGTAGATCGTTGAAACTGGTTCATCTACTGTTGAATCTGGTTTATCTGCACTGAGTAGATCGTTGAAACTGGTTCATCTACTGTTGAATCTGGTTTATCTGCACTGGAGCAGATCGTTGAAACTGGTTCATCTACTGTTGAATCTGGTTTATCTGCACTGAGTAGATCGTTGAAACTGGTTTACTGTTGAATCTGGTTTATCTGCAGTGGAGTAGATTGTTGAAACTGGTTCATCTACTGTTGAATCTGGTTTATCTGCACTGGAGTAGATCGTTGAAACTGGTTCATCTACTGTTGAATCTGGTTTATCTGCAGTGGAGTAGATCGTTGAAACTGGTTTACTGTTGAATCTGGTTTATCTGCAGTGGAGTAGATCGTTGAAACTGGTTTATCTACTGTTGAATCTGGTTTATCTGCACTGGAGTAGATCATTGAAACTGGTTCATCTACTGTTGAATCTGGTTTATCTGCAGTGGAGTAGATCGTTGAAACTGGTTTATCTACTGTTGAATCTGGTTTATCTGCACTGGAGTAGATCGTTGAATCTGGTTCATGTACTGTTGAATCTGGTTTATCTGCACTGGAGTAGATCGTTGAATCTGGTTCATCTACTGTTGAATCTGGTTTATCTGCAGTGGAGTAGATCGTTGAAACTGGTTCATCTACTGTTGAATCTGGTTTATCTGCACTGGAGTAGATCGTTGAAACTGGTTCATCTACTGTTGAATCTGGTTTATCTGCACTGAGTAGATCGTTGAAACTGGTTCATCTACTGTTGAATCTGGTTTATCTGCACTGAGTAGATCGTTGAAACTGGTTCATCTACTGTTGAATCTGGTTTATCTGCACTGAGTAGATCGTTGAAACTGGTTCATCTACTGTTGAATCTGGTTTATCTGCACTGAGTAGATCGTTGAAACTGGTTTACTGTTGAATCTGGTTTATCTGCAGTGGAGTAGATTGTTGAAACTGGTTCATCTACTGTTGAATCTGGTTTATCTGCACTGGAGTAGATCGTTGAAACTGGTTCATCTACTGTTGAATCTGGTTTATCTGCACTGGAGTAGATCGTTGAAACTGGTTTATCTACTGTTGAATCTGGTTTATCTGCACTGAGTAGATCGTTGAAACTGGTTCATCTACTGTTCAATCTGGTTTATCTGCACTGGAGTAGATCGTTGAAACTGGTTCATCTACTGTTGAATCTGGTTTATCTGCACTGGAGTAGATCGTTGAAACTGGTTCATCTACTGTTGAATCTGGTTTATCTGCAGTGGAGTAGATCGTTGAAACTGGTTCATCTACTGTTGAATCTGGTTTATCTGCACTGGAGTAGATCGTTGAAACTGGTTCATCTACTGTTGAATCTGGTTTATCTGCAGTGGAGTAGATCGTTGAAACTGGTTTATCTACTGTTGAATCTGGTTTATCTGCACTGGAGTAGATCGTTGAATCTGGTTCATGTACTGTTGAATCTGGTTTATCTGCACTGGAGTAGATCGTTGAAACTGGTTCATCTACTGTTGAATCTGGTTTATCTGCAGTGGAGTAGATCGTTGAAACTGGTTCATCTACTGTTGAATCTGGTTTATCTGCACTGGAGTAGATCGTTGAATCTGGTTCATCTACTGTTGAATCTGGTTTATCTGCACTGGAGTAGATCGTTGAATCTGGTTCATCTACTGTTGAATCTGGTTTATCTGCACTGGAGTAGATCGTTGGATTATCTGGATTATCTACTGTTGAATCTGGATTATATGCAGTGGAGTAGATCGTTGAATCTGGTTTATCTGCACTGGAGTAGATCGTTGAAACTGGTTTATCTACTGTTGAATCTGGTTTATCTGCAGTGGAGTAGATCATTGGATCATCTGGTTTATCTGCAGTGGAGTAGATCATTGGATCATCTGGTTTATCTGCAGTGGAGTAGATCATTGAATCTGGTTTATCTACTGTTGATTCTGGTTTATCTGCAGTGGAGTAGATCATTGGATCATCTGGTTTATCTGCAGTGGAGTAGATCATTGGATCATCTGGTTTATCTGCAGTGGAGTAGATCATTGAATCTGGTTTATCTACTGTTGAATCTGGATTATCTGCAGTGGAGTAGATCGTTGGATCATCTGGACTTTCTGCTGTAGTGTAGATGGTGTCTCTGTTCTTGCACTGGAACTCGCTGATTTCCTGATAATTATGGTCACTCCAGTCAATGTCCTGCAAAAGAACTCATGTTATCGTCCAAACCATTACACATTTGAACATTGCACCATTATTTGTTATCACTAGCAGAAACATGTTGAGTTTTAGATGCTGGAGAGAGATGTTCAGAGTCAGCAGCTCCAAACCAATGAGCAACAATCAGCTTTTACCAGCACTGACTTTACAGCTGGTGTTTACAAGAGCTTACAGATATAAGATCATCATCATCATCATCTTCATCATCATCACCAGAAACACTCACCTCTGCAGTGGTTTCTGCTCTTGTATTAAAAGGCAACAGCCCGACTGCGACTGCCAAAACATGAGGAGAAATAAAGTTACATTCAAACAGCAAACATTAGAAAGAGCCGTATGTGTACCTGTGTCTATAGATCAGCTCAATGACTTATTTGTGGATTTAGTTTCTGGAGAAATGTGCATCTAAATCTGACCGTGCTGGGAAAGTCCTGATTGTGTAACTCTTGATGATTTCTTGCTTCTCTTCCTAAACAACACCATCAGCGCCATGAGGAAGATGATCATGATGAAGACTAACCCAACACAGATGTAGATGACAGACCCTGAATGAGAGTCCTGACCTGTAACACACATTTAATGTCCTTTAATCTGATATATAGATGCATCGTATTCAAATACTCAAGAAATAAGAGTCTCAAAGAGCGGAAGACAGATGAAAACTGACCATATGTGTCGTGCCGATCTGTGTGGTTCATGCTGGTTGTTTGTAGATTCAGTTCTGATGTACTAAAATATGATGATGTTGTTTTTGAAAAAGAGCTGATAGTTGAAACCTCAGTGGTCTTACTATCTGATGGATGACAGGAAAGATCAACTTAAAGTCAAAGTTTCTAAAACACTGACACTGGATTCAACTGAAAATAAATAAATATTAATTTGTTCTATTGTCTTCTGTAGGCCTGCTTTTTAACGGAATGATTGTATAATTTAATAACTTTGCTGCTTTGAAAAAATATTGTGGCCTTATTTTATTTAATGGCTAATTGGCTTTATGCACAGCTTCACTACTTCCTGAACTTCAGCCAGCCCTTTGTTTCCTGTCTGTCATTATTGGACAAACTGATTAATTCAGGTGTGCCTGGCCACAGTAACAATAATCAGGCACGCCTGAATTAATCAGTTTGTCCAATAATGACAGACAGGAAACAAAGGGCTGGCTTAAGTTCAGGAAGTAGTGAAGCTGCGCATAAAGTCCATTGGCCTGTTCCTTTGTAGTTAATTTCTACTACAGGTACACTTATTATAAGTATAAGCACTTACCCAGTTTAACCAGCAACATAATCTCTGAATAGACATCAGTAATACTCTTCTTCACACCACACCAGTATTGGCCTGCATCCTCTGGTCTCAGATCAGTGATGGTGACGGTGAAAACTCTGGCCGTCGTGTCGTCAGTCAGAGAGAATCTCTCGTCTTTAGCTGGAGATCCTGATTCAACCATGATGTTTCTAGATCCATAGAAACACTCCCCTTTACAAAAAAACTTTGAATCTGATTCATATCCAGATTCATATGAGCATCTGATGTCAACTCTCTCTCCTCTGTATCCAGTAATTGTCTGTGAAGCTCCACCAACAACAGCTGAAAACACAAATATCATTATATAGAGCTGTTATGTGTGAGAAAGAGACATAAGCAGGCCAGAATAATAACTTACAAATATCCTCCATATGAGTCTGATGATCATGTGATAAAGAGGAAAACAAGAGAAGAAGTCAAACTCTGTGTAAAAGAGCTGAGAGTCTGAAACTCACCTGTACAGATGCTGGAAAAGAGCAGCAGGACGTCCAACATCATGACATTTGACAAGCGTTTCGCTGAAATAAAAGAACAAATTCTGTGTGACAAACGTTACTGTCGTTCTCTTCCGTACTGAGAGAACAATGAGCGTCAGCAACTCAAATATACATATCCTTCCCCTTTCCGTATCTCTAACCACATCTATCTCTACAGGACATCACAAAAGAGCTCACTTACTCTGACAAACTTAACATGCTTTGCTTATATACTGATCTAAACAGCACAATACCTAGTTTCGTTATATGAATGTCATTTTTGATCAAAATCAAAATTAAGATAAGGTTGTTATTTGTATATGTTTGGGTTTTGTAACTGGTCTCAGTTTCTTTTGAGTTTTAATCCTAATTCTTACCTTCACTGGTTCATTTTAAAAGATGGCCAATTCATCTTTAAAAGTAGGCTACAAACAGACAATCCCTTGTGAGTTTTAAATCTTAATTTAATGAGCAAACTGTGGTTCGGAATAGTCTCATATTGAGTAAAACATCACATAACACCACAGGACAGGTCATGCATACTTTTATAAGATGCTTGTCACGAGTTCACCATCACAAGATTTCAGTCAAACTGAGTCGTTTAGATGGAGATTCGCTACGTAAGACCGACAGGAGTGTGTGTGTCTCTGTGTAGTGTTTCACTTCACCTGTAGAGGGCTCGATGTAGCACAGCTCACAGACTGAGGAGGGGTTTCCTGCAGAATTGGGCGACTATTAAACTGTTGCCACGGGTTGAAGGTTTGACATTGAATAAATTATTAACTGAAATCTTTGTATTGAAAAATGTTACCCATTTACCAACAATAAAACCGTTATCTATACAAGAGTGACTATGAATATCTATTTTAGGTATGGAGTGCATATTTTGAGTTCTGATGTGTGGATTAGGGTCATTGGGTTAGTTTTGTTACTCAGATCTGGAGACACTGACTCTGAGACACCAGCATCACTTCACACAGAGTCTACAGGAGAAGAGGATAAACAGAGGAAAAAGAAGGGAATTTATCTTTTATTAGCTTTTACTGAAGATGAGGTGTACTGTACACACTTTTTTTTTATCATTTTTGCATTTATATATTTTTTAATCTTATTTCTTTTTTAGTAACACTAGAGTTTAACTTATGTTGGTTGTGAACAGATTTTATGGTAACATTAGTAAAACAAAGCAAGCATTCCGAAAACTAAGTGCAAGAGACCAAACTCAGTTTGCAACACTGGTTGACAGCTTTTTTTGACTTGTTGGAAACAGTTGGTCCAATTTTTTAAGTCAATTAGCCCAGATCGTCTTCAGACCGTGCTGGCAAAAAGTTATTAAAAACTTTTGATAGACCAGACCGTACTTGTATGATCATTCAACAAAATTGATGGTGAGTTAGCCAAAGTGGATGTGAGGCTGTATCTCTGCAACACACTGGAATATTAAGACACAACTTGGCACACTTAATAGCCATCACAGCCTAAGGGTATGTGAGGAGTTTCAGCACAGCGCCACCTAGTGTTGCCAAATAATGAAACATTTACATTTTTGCCTATAACTTCAGAATAGTTTGACCAAAAATCATAAGACTGATCTCTTTACATTCACTGTGTGGCATATCGAGTTGAATGAAACCCAATTTTCTCATGTCGGCCATTTAGAATTTTGTAGAAATATGCTGTATTTTAATAAAGCAAAAGCATATGGTTACGAAACTTTACAAATATGCGTATAACCTTTGTGAATTTTGTTTGATGCTATAAATCTGACCTCTTTGTGTTCTTTGGGTCTTACAGAATCTAATGATAAACATAAACATAATGATTTTTTTCTGCACACCATTTTAAGCATTGCGAACTCCTGCTAACACAATTTCACACAGATTATCATCAAATTATGCAGGTAAAAAAGATGTTAAAAAAGTTTTAATATATTTAATACATTGTCAAATTTGATATAAAAGAGCCACATATAGTGGCTTACATATAGCTACTAATTTTCACTGCTTGTAGGATGTTTTTAATTAATTTCTTTTATTGGTTTTATAAAACTGTAGAAGAGGTGGTCTAATTACAAAGAACACCAAATTTAATGTAATTTTTCATTATTTCCATTTTTTTAATTGTTAGTAACTTTCCTTGTGAGTAATATTACATACAGAAGAATACTGATAAAAATGTGTTTTGTACAGAAAAGTGTGTTAAAATATTTAGATTTGACAAAATTCTGAGAGTCTTTTTCATTTATGGTTGATCACTGAATATATCGGACCCTCGTGTGTTGTGACGTTATGCGGATGCGTTGTGATGTTTTGAGGATGTGTTGCTGTTACGTAGATCAGTTCTGTCCCGCTGTCCTGTGTTGCTTCAGGACACTTTATTTTGGCATAATAATCACCGGCTGTCTCTGTCACCTGATTGGTCGAGTGGGTGTGACTGGGCTTGGAATCAGGCTGCTGATTGGATACTGTGGTGTAAACAGTAGAGACTTTTGGGCAGGTGTTGAGATGTGATGCAGGCGTCTGATTGGATGAAGATGCAGGCGTCTGATTGGATGGAGATGCAGGCGTCTGATTGGATGAAGATGCGGGCGTCTGATTGGATGAAGATGCAGGCGTCTGATTGGATGAAGATGCAGGCGTCGGATTGGATGAAGATGTTACCATGGCAACATCTGTGTTTGGAATCTCTTCATATATGTGGTCAGTCTAAAAAATAACATATACATCAATCATTTGATAGTTTATTTAGTAACACTGTTGATCACTAAATAATTATTTAACATGTATTTCTGATCTTCCACAGGTAAAGATTTGAACACACACCTCTGTATTGCGCTGCATGTTTTGCTGAAATTAAGCTGTATAAAACCAGAGAAAAATCAAGTCACACACAAAAACAAGAATATAATAATAAAAATACTCACAAACAAACTGTTACCTGTCCCAGATTTCCTCTTCCTCTTCTTCAGGATGATGAAGGTTCCAGAACACAGAGTCAGAACCAGCAGAACCGAACCCAGACCGCCAGCAACAGAAGCCAGATCTGAAGGCGACGCTAAACACATGATATTTACATGATGAAACACACTGCAGATTCTGATTATACTGTATAACAAACTTATAACTGATATACATTACTTTGATTATTGTACCATTAGGAATATTGTAATATTGTAAATAATCAGTTGTTATATTGTGTAACTGAAGTAAAAATGCAATGGTAAACCTCAAGAAAACACTTCTCTTTACGGCTGATGTCAAACCAAATTAACCACATGAAATCTGATATGTTCATCATTTATATTCATACAGTAGCTAAAATGTGTCTCCACAAATGTTCAAAGCAATTTCCTTTCACAGAGTGATCATGTGATCAGAGAGTTGCATTATGGGTAGTGTAGTTTGTGTTCTTACTAGTGTTTGTCTGATGGAGTTGAACTGTAGTATCTCCTGTTGTTGTTCTTGTTGTTTCAGTTTCTGTGTGATGAGTCGCTGACAGAGAGAAACACCAGTGACTGTGAATGTGTCACTCATGCGGTGATATAATAACAAATAATAATAATAAACACTTTTTTTGTATTGCTGCATGAATAAATGTTGTGTTTTGTGTTCATAATACTGAATACTGATAATAATCACACTATATTAGTGCTCATATAGAAGACACTATTATTATCTGAAAGGATACAGTGTATCTTTGGATAAAAGTTTCTGTCAATAAATGCATAAAAATCCCAGATAAAGAAATGCTGAACTCATGTCACAATGATTTTCCTCAGAAAAACTGAAGTCTTAGACACTGCAGAACAAAGAAAGTGCTAAAGAAAACACTGTTTGTAAAATGATGCGTCAAACATGTGCAGGTACCTGTGCTGGTGTGTTCAGTGCTGCTGTTTGTATATGGACTAATGCTGGTTGTTGAGATCTGGACACGTGTTGTTTTCACTGGAGCTGAGAAATGAAGAAGAGCCGTCAAGCCGTAATACATTCATAAATCACAGGATAACACAGGAGTGATGATTCAGAAGAAGAGCCGTCAACCCATAACAAATATTTAGATTAGATAGCTTTTTTATTGTCATTCAACTGTACATTTAGAGTGCACATAAGAACAAAATTCCATTCCATTGGCTCATAAAATATAAAAATATAATAAAAAAATGCATTCAAACATAACACTAAAAATAGTTTAACAGCAGCATATACATAATGATATTGCACATGGTAAATTGGCGGCGTGTAATCCAATTGTTTGCCCTTGTTAAGTGGTGGCATATAAATACAATTATTCCACATTATAAATAAATACTATAATTGCAATAACCCAGTCCAGTTCACCTGAGGCTCACAGCAGAGGATTCAGTGAGATATAGGGCTCTATCTTGCACCCGGCGCAATTGACTTTGTTTACTGACGCATGTGTCATTCCTATTTTGCACCCACGCAAAGCGGGCTTTTCCCTCCACAGACACACGTCGGTTAACTAAGAAATACACTTGCGCTCCCCGGGGCGGTTCAGCGCAAAGAGGAGGCGTGTTCCGGCGCAAACTTTCCCTCATGCTATTTTGCTGTTCTATAAAACAATTGCGCCACTGACCAGAAAAAAACTAGTCTAAAGTCAGTGGCGCGTTGCGCATTGTTCATAATGCTATTTTAAGCGCGCATGCTTGCCCATAATGTAGCGGGTGCACAACGCGCATACACTTTGATTCTCTCATCAACACAGATGCAGCAGTTTTTATTTTTGCAAATCATACATTATAACAAGGAAAAATATTAACACATGAGGGAAATCATTGTGGTGTCCATGAAGATGTTTTTTTCCTCCCACGCCTGTTTAAAGGTGCCCTATGTAAAAATTGAGGTAAAATTATCCAAAAAATAAGCTACACGCATCAAAAGAATGAGAAGAAATAAGTGCAATGATGTCATTAAAAAATTGACAAGTTATAGTGCTGCCGAGATATAAACCTAAATTAGCATGCTAAATTACTAGCGCCGGCCCGACTGGTGTCGTAATACCAGTTTCGGCCATGGGAGGCGGTATGCGGGCAACATACATAACCACCAGCCAAACTGCAGTACACGAATAACTCGCACGGCTTGTGGGCGTACTTAAACCCTGCTTAAACCTGATGTCAATCGCGTCTATATGAGACCGGCCTTTATAATTTAGTGTTGAAATGTTGTTCATTGAGTCTCTAATCTCTAAAAATCTCCAAATGAACTGCGGTCTTACTATCGTGTCAATTGATTTGATTAGTATGCGCGAGGGAGAGAGAGAGCAGGAGGACTGCGCTCGTGTTGTTTGAAGACGTGAGAGTGCGCGCGCGCAGCCGGGGCGCTCTCTCTCTCCCTCTCTCTGCTCGTTATAAGCCCTGTCAAGCGCAGCAGTCATTATATTCTACATCACTCACCGATCAAAATGGGCTTTGGCGGGACAAAGCGGACGATTTGACGGTTTTAGAAGATTAACAACCCGAAACTAAAAAACAGACTAGAATTGGCCAATTTTCTGGAGGTATACTGCCCCCATTTGGTATGGAATATGTGGAGTATGAATTTATTTTTTGGCAGACATTCCACATGGCACCTTTAAGCGACGCTGATTTGGGTGGGTTTCTCCCATCCCCATACAACGTCACTTCTCTGTCTTTTTTTTTTTTTCTGGTAAATCCGCCGTTATAATAGCAATCCGCCATGCAACATGCATACCTTTTTTTAAAGGGAATGTGAGATGACGGTCTGATTGGTTTATTTCACGTTACGCCCAAACCACACCTATGAATAATGAAGCTACTTCAGACCAACCCCTTTTAGATTTGCGCCAGGCGCAAGAGGCATTTATCCCGCCGGGAAAATAGCAACAGCGCCGGGATCTGCCCACAAAGTTACTTGCGCTTTGCGCTTTGACACTTGCGTTTCAGGTCGTTAAAATAGGGCCAATAGTGTTTATGGGGTTTTTTGAGTTCAGGAGACTGATAGTTTGTGGGAAAAAGCTGTTGTATGATCTGGCTGTTCTGCCCCGGTCTTGGATGGAAGGCAGTGAAGAGCCGATGATCTTTTCCGCTGTCTTCCAGTGTGAGGTTTGCAGACCCCAAACCAGACAGAGGTGCAGCTGGTCAGTGTGCTCTCTATAGTGCCTTTGTAGAAAGTGCTGAGGATGGGAGGGGGAAGATGTGCTCTTCTCATCCGGCGCAAAAAGTATAGACGCTGATGAGCTCGCTTCACGAGAGGCAGTGTTGAGGCTCCATGTCAAACTATCTGTGATCTGCACCCCAGGAACTTGGTGCTCCTGACTAATGCCACCGCAGTGTCGTTGATGAGGAGTGGTGTGCGACTGTGCTGCTTTCTCCTGAAGTCAACAATGATCTCCTTCAGGAGCAGGGTGTTTGTGTTGCACCAGTCCACCAGCTGTCTCACCTCCTCCCTGTAGGCCGGTTCATTGTCATCCTGAATGAGTCCCATCACTGTTGTATCATCCGCATACTTCACAACATGGTGTTTTATTAACAAAGGTCAGGAGGAACACGTTCAAATTATCTATCCAATCCTCACGTCTTTTTAATCATCACATCATTCCAATCATCACGTCATTTCAACCAGCTGTCATCAATCAGTAATCGACCTGTCTACCCAATTAGCAAAATGAGTGGAGGCCTATATATATATATATATATATATATATAAGATCAAGTTTTGAGATGATATGGTTCTTTACAAGCCTTTCGAAGCACTTCATCATTATAGGAGTGAGTGCAACAGGGTGATAATCATTGAGGCATGTAATTATAGATTTTTTGGGCACTGGTGTTATGGTAGCAGTCTTGAAGCATGATGGAACAACAGCCTGATTCAGCGAGGTGTTGAAGATGTCTGCGAGGACAGGAGCCAGCTGATCACACCCGTCCTGGGCCTTTCGAGTGTTGACTTTTGTCAGGGTCATTCCTGACGTCAGCTGTGTTAAGACTGAGAACCTGCTCGTCTGAATGAGGAACGCTTTTTTTCTTACAGGAGTGTTGTTTAGTTCCTCAAACCATCCAAAATATGTGTTGAGTTCGTTGAGAAAGTGTGTTGTCCTCACAGGGTGGTGGAGTCTGTATGTATACCCTGCCACATGTGACCTTTTTTTGTGACTATGGCCATGTTTTGCAGCCCTAATGGCACGGTTCAGGTTGTCTTCTAGGTGTTCTGAGCACCACCATGTCACCAGCTTTGAACGCAGCATTTAGTGCCTTTAGCATTGCACGTACTGTACCTCCATCCAGGGCTTCTAATTGGCTCGTGTGGTGATGTTCTTGGTGACACATACTGGTATATCCATGTAAATTCTCCGGGCAGAGAGAATGGTCTGCATTTTATAGTCAAAAACTCTATGTCTGAGGAGCAATGACTTGAGACCACAATGTAGGGTACCGAACCCGGTACTTTTAATGACACCAACCGAATTACGTCAGTACTATCGAGTACCGATTCACATTAAATCAATCAGTGTCAAATTTCGGTACCTGAAATCGCATCTGGGCGTGAAAGTAAGACTATTTACATACGAATTCTGCATGTCTCAGTGTGAATGAGTGGCGCAGATGCACGGTTTCATTTACCACACACACACACACACACACACTGAAGCATGCGTTACGCTCGCAGTGTTTTTTTTTAAGCCTCTGCAGTCTCACGAGAACATGAATGTATGAACTTCATTTCCAGAGCCGCTCTGAGAGTCACTGAAGTTCATCAGCATTTTACAGTTTAATTTAAGAAAAACTATCGTTATATCATTAATGGTGCAAAACGCAAGTCTCTGAGTTTTTGCAGAACTACGCCCCCTCTGGCGACAAGCGAAACTGCAACCAGAGTTGTGCACGCTCATTGACCACACGCACACGCACGCATGCACGAGCTGTTCATAACTAAAGGAGCATCTGCCCGCACAGATCTTTGGTGTACAGCCAAAATGTCTTCAGAGGTAATAGTTATAAATCTGCAAGTCATTTCAAATATATGGAAGGAAAGACATTTGAGTAAATTACTCTTATGTGTGAGGGGAAAACGGGGGTTGTAGAAAACTTGGTTTATGTGTTTACTGTATCCACCTATGATTGTATTGTTATGCAAACACGTTCATGAACAATATAATTGATTACTTCGCAAAAGCTCAAAATAATAATCATACCATACACGGTTGGTCAACAACGTTCACTCAAATGTCTCAATGTAATAAACAATCAAATGTCACTATGACGTTTTCATAAAAGCCAAACAGGCTAATCCGCCGAAGACTTGCGGGGTTTTATGTTTCATGTTGTACTATTCTTCCGAACATAATTCCTAGTTTATGAAACTGTTCACTAACAATGGTAGTAAAACCAATTCTGATTGTACATGTATCTAGCTTACGCTAAAGCAGTGGTTCCCAAACATGTCCTGGCGACCCACCAACACTGCACGTTTTCTTTGTCTCCCTAATCAAACACACCTGATTGAACTAGGGCTGGGCGATATATCGCATGACATTGCTATGCACATCTCGTCAGTAAAGCCGGTTCCTTGATTAGTAGTAAATCACCTTCACCTGCTTTCAGATGGAGCGGCATTTACTTCAAAGAGCCGTTAACTGACCAGCTGAGCCATATCGCATTAATATCGCGGACATATCGTCAGTTGTCAGTTAACTACGGCTCTTTGTACACAGCAAAAACTCCAGTGTTAAATTAACACTCCTGGGAGTGTATATGAGTCAATCATATTGATGTCTCATAAGTTAATGAGATAATTATGTGATTAATTGAGTGATGATTGAGCATTATTGAAGACACCTAAAGCAGAATCACTGAAGGAGAAAATCTAAAATTGTAAGCCACCGTTATGGCGATCATTGTTTGCTTTAGTTGGGCTCCTTATATTATAAACTTTAGATTTAGTTTGTGTGTTGTATCTGAGTTATAACGGCCAGATCAACAAAGAACAAAA